GACGTCCTTCGGGAGCCATGAAGGCGCGCTTGAGTCACGGCAGCCCTAGCAATACACCCAAACCTCTCCAAAAGCGGAAATCTATGCACTCTGTTCCTACTACGCCCCGGGAGGATTCATTCATCCACCACTCTCCTCTTCCTAGCCAAGCACCACCAAGCTACCCAGCGCCAGCACCAGCACCAGCGCTGGTCCCCGCCCCTGGTCCCCAGCCAGCATTCAGCACCCATCTCAACAAGAAGCCGAAATACATGCCGCCTACACATGGAAGCCCCGTACATGACGAATTTCACTTCGATGCTTGGTCCGACACAGATTCATGCAGTGGAGGTAGCATTACTAAATACGATTGGCGGCTTGCTGTAGTCAAGACTCGGTTGTTTACCAGTCATATTAATGTCACGCAGTATTGGACTTGGGTTGGTCAGATACAATGTTTCCAACACCAAGTACTCAAAGACGTGAAACCTGCGAAATGGGGCTTATTTAGGGACGAGATTGATTTCCACGTCAACCTCGCAGAGATTGAGGAGATGGAGTGGAGTATCGAGGCGCTTCGCGTTCATATCATTATGAAAAAGGACGCCGGCGAGCTTGCTGCGGATGGCAAGCCTCGAGGCGATGTCATGGCGTCCTTCCCAAGAGCACGTACAATGCGCCGTTTCTTGTTCTTCTGTAGAGAAAGGGGCATGAAAATGGCAAAGAGGGCGCCGTAAGTGTCACCCCTGAGAACAATTGTGACAAAGTTGGAAACTGACCTGGATAATAGTGAGCAACTCAATAGCATGTGGGATTCCATGGTTTCTGAACAATTGCCCGGCCGAGGCGATTCTAATCAGCAGTTGGTGGAATAAATTTTGTCGACGGCAAGCGACCGTCTGAGGGACCGTGTTTCCCTTTTAATCACGACCTGACTTGTTTCAATTTCCTATTGTTCCTAGTATTTTTCTTTACTCATAGAGGATATCACTTCGCACCAAGCCAACACTGGATTTTGTGTGCTCACGGAAAGATTGTTTTTATTGGCTCGGGGTTAAAGGATGGAAAAGAGAACTTGATGGGTGGAAAGGAAAAGCCATTTAGAGAGGAGTTCTCTCATATTACATACTATACCTTGAGTCGATTAGACTGAATAAATGGTCTCAATTTCCTTTCAATACCTTCGTAGCCACCAGACTAAGTGTTCCGCAACGTGTCGTCGCAAAGGTATAGACAGCGCTCGTGTGGTCTTAATAAGGGCTCGTCTCCAAGAGAGATCGTAGTACTTACTTGTGGCAAATACCATGTTCTTTCCGAATCAAACAGACCGTTTATACTAAACTCGCAACAGATTATGACGTACGTACATCCTTTTTCTACATATTCATTCCTATCGTTTTCTTAATGTTCGCGTCCGTCCTGGCCCTATATTTTGCGTCGGTGTAGACGCTGCTGCCTTCACCTCGACACCACCGCTGCCCATCATGCGACTCATAAGAGCAGCTCGACACTCCTTCGCCTTATCGTCACGATATTCCAACTGCGTTGCTGGGGGCTCAGATTCTTGGTTTTCTGGATCTTTGTCCTCGTCGCCAAATACGTCGTGGAGCTCAGCCGCCGAGCGGGAGGCAACACTACTGGCATTCGAGGCATTGCTGATGGCACGGCCGAATAGCTGACGCTTGCGAGGTCTTGGAGCTGGCTGTTCAGTTTCATCGGAGGCGAAGGAGGGAAGATTTGGTGTTGTGGTCTCAATGAGTGAGGTAAGTTTTGAGGAGAGGGCCTGGCGCTCTGCGGCTTTAGCGCGAAGACGAGCTTGCTCTACATTTTCCTGTTGTTTCGCTTGCTGTATATTTTCCTGTGAAGTTGGAGGATTGTCTGTTGCTTCCTCTGTGAGAGAAGTTGTAGTTTTAACTTTGCTCGTGGGATCGGAGCGAGTGCGAGGCAATATGGTATGTTTGGTGGGTGAAGGAGACCTGTTTAGACGTGCTCGAGTAACCTCAGCAAGAGGTGAGTCAAAGTCCTTGTCCTTAGGTAGACTATTCGTTGTTGTTTGGTGAGTGCGTGCTGTGACAAAGTCTGGTGAGATGACCGAGGTAGGTTTCGTAGTCATTTTTCGAGAGACCCTTTCAGGTGAATCATGATCAAAGGCCGAGGTATCAACGCCAGCGCCGTGTGGAGGCTTCGTGATATGACTTTTAGTTGACTTAGACACCGGTTCTGAATGAGTGCGCTGCATCGGCTTTTGATGCAATCGTGCCTCAGGGGCGGTTCTAGAGGTTGGTTTCGGTTCAGGCTGAGATGTTTCCGAGTATCTCTCTTTAATCTCAGGGAATATGTAATCGTCGAGAGGGACCTTGAAGCCTGTACGGATACACTCCCAGAACCAATCTGCTGAAACAACAGGAATGCCCCATTTCAGAGCCACACGCAACTTCTCCTTGCGCATAGAAGTGATGTCCTTGCATATTAGCACGCTTGTAGTTTTACGAAACTCTCCATCAAACTTGGCTCCTAACTGAACAGCGGCCCTTGCAACTTGATTGAGCTCGATACCTGTAAAAGCAGCACTGCATATGATAAGACCCGAAAACGCTGGTATGGGAAAGAAGGTGAATGGTCGACCGAGAACGTGCTCCCCGGGGTCAAAGTATTGCTTGTTATGAAGGCACTTTTCGATGTAGTATTCTGTCACAACATGGAGGTTGTCGTAGGTTTCCTGAGGGTGAGTATCAGGCTGAGATGTCTGAGGAACAATCAGAAACCGGCTGCGAGGTGGCTTTGGACTTCTCCCCAGAGCGGCCTCATTTAATGATGAGCAAATAGTAGCCCCGAGAGTGACGAGTGTTTGCTCTAGAACGGAGGTTCTTTGTGCGTTGAATCCATGTATGTAAAAGAAACAGTTCCCAAAAATACCCTGATCTTCTTCTGGGATCATAGGAGCTGGTGGCTCAGGCTGAGCTTCTGCACCCTGTGGCTGTTGGACCTGAGCTTGGTTTCCGTCTTCCTTATTTTCCTGAGCGAAGGAATAATCTCTCGATGTTGATCGACCGAGAATATCGCCCCAGATGTTATTACGCTGTGAACTGAGCTTCATGCTGGCAGTCTTCCTGAGCTTCCTGGGGCCCTCCTCAGCGCCACCTGCAATGGCAGACTTTGATCGCTTGCTCATTGTACGTTTCAGTTCTCTTGTAACCCATGCACCCTTCCCTTGCTCCTCAGGAGGTAATGTCGGGTCGAACTTGGCTTCTTCCAAGATCATCCTTCGAGATATGGATTGTTCAAGCCAGGCGAGTGTGACTGGGTGAATGCCCCATGCTCTGGCTGCAGTATATTTCTTGCCTTCTGGTTTGTTGACGATGAGGTGTGTGCACCGTCTCGTCAAGTCGCCCGTATACAAGCCTCCATTCGATGTGATTTTACTTGCGATTTCGTCTCTTTGGTCGCCGAAGCCAGTCAAACAAATTAGCAGTGAATCTCTTGCTGGCTCTCCTCGTTGTGGCTGGACCGTAGGATCGATGCCTCGCTTCTCTAGGGGCTTCAGTTGGTGCTTATTCTCGAGCTGTCGATAATCGATCTCTTCGTCGTTCTTCCATATCTCGCTAAGTTCTTCGATCCAGGCGGCATCCATAGCCTTGATATCGGGGCGTTCACGAGCGACATGGCGATATTTGGGTGTGTCGTAGTCACCAACAATAAGATGGGTTACGTCGGGTGTGAGATCGTATTTATGAATACCACCAAGCTCGGCAACTTTGGAAGCGATGCTAGTCTAGGCATCATGGGTCAGTAAACAGGACTCATGATGACTGACGAATATGAACGGTACTTACACGATGCTCAGCAGGAATACTTGTACAGCAGACGACGATGCCCTTGAGAGGTTCTGCTGGATCAATTTGTATATCTTCCACTTCGTTCGCGCGAGGTGAGGCCATCTTCAGTCCCTTTTGTTTGATGGTTGCTGTGGTGTTGCAACTGGGACGTCGGAGTTTGTGATTTTAATTGATATCAATCTTTTGGGAACGCGTCGTGAACCAAAACCGCGTCAAGTGCTTAGACTGGGCCCAGACGTCATGACACAGGCGGGGGCTCTCACTATATTGAGATTTACACTGTAGCAGTCAACTGTAAGCCGCTGAAACTAGAGCTGAAGGGTATGAAATACAGTGCGGAAACAGCACCACATGTCATGGATGGATGACAACTTCATCTCCACGAGATACTTAAAATGCAGAATTGACTGAGTTTCCACTGGCACAGGGTTTAATGTTGATCAGAAACTTCAAGTCAAGTGCTATACACAAGGTAGTTCGTTGACTCACGTGCGGAATAACCGTTTCCAGAATTCAAGAACCTTTACTAAGACTCTACAACTGGGCCAGCGCCGATAATTGTATTTTAGGCTTTTTATGCTCATACCTCACAAAACTCTCTAAAGCAAATTGCATAGGTAATTCAAAACGTACTCTAAATAATGTTCTTCACTGTACGGAGTAAAATTTCCTTTACCATGGTGTGATCAGTCAAGGGATCTAAGACATCTCATATCATATAAGTGAATTACGGATACCCCCGTAAGGCATCTATCTACAGCCAAGCCCCGCTCATCACCTACCTAAACTTCAACCCCACCATCAGCTAAGATCGCAGCCTTGTCGCGAAGTGAAAGCTCAACCCCTCCATCTACACTTCTTCTTCGTCTCCAACAACGACGACTTTCCGCCTTCCCTCTCGAACATAGGTAACTCGATCGCAGCGGCGACGCCTCCACATGGGGAACTCCTTCCGATAAACACTTCCTCACCCTCCGACCCTCGTTCTGCGCCATCTCACCACGACCGAACCAAGCATCTTCACCGTTCGATCACCACTAGGAGCCTAACCCCGAGCATCCTCCGTGGAACAATTCGTCCGTATCGGCCGACGCTCGAGTATCCCAACAACCAACCCGCTTGACGACTCGATTTCGATACCCTTGCAGAGCCTTGCCAAATAGCGACAAATCCGACGCCGTCAAGATGCCTCCACCGTCTGCTGCCCAGCAGAAGGTTCTCATCGCCCAGTTCGTAGCTCTGACTGGTCAATCAGAGCGACAGGCTACCCGCGTACGTATTTTCCGTGTTCACCTTCCTTACCTATGTCGATCATCGCGAACCAAGCTGGTCCCTGACACGGATAAACCTCATGACAACCTACTGTTTTACACGGCATGGCTTGGGCTATGGATACATCGGCCTGTGTTTCAGCAGCGCCTATTTAGCCTGGAGTTGTATTATCGTGATTGTATGGCATGGCGTTGCTAACATCTACTTTAATAGTACCTCAAGAATGCCGGTTTCAAGCTCAACGAAGCTGTTGATACGTAAGTTACTGCCGTCTTTTCTATTCTTTATGCTTGTCATGATACACGTCGCCTATTTCTACTGGCACAATGCTCCCTGCTACATCCGGATACGGATATGTCTATATCGAGCAGCTTCCGGCTATTGTTTGCTCATTGTATCCGTCCTGTCACTGTCTCCTGGCCCACTATTGCCCGTCTCATTTGCAAAGTATGACCGACAAAGACGCCGATAGTCTTAGACAAGGTTGGTTACTTGTAGATCTGGTGCTATTTGAGGGGTCTTGAATACGTTACCTCGAGGCCGTGCGGTGCTTATGCTTCTATCAAATTCCCAGATGAGAACCATGGGAATCTTGAAGTAGTTGGCACCCATGACAGACAGGGCTTGTACAGACGCCTCCTACGTTGTTACAAAACTTTCAACCTCTCCTATTCTTCACAGCCCTTGACAATCCGGCGCTTTGTGACTTTACTGTAGTCACTCAAGCACAGTCCGGCCAGCCAAGAAGATGGGATGGAAAAGTTTCAAGAAGCGCATTACGACCGGGGTTCCTATCTTGTCCTCTACCAAAGAGGCCGGCAAAGATACCCCTGGTTCGTCTCATCAGACGGAATCCGAACAAACACCAAATAATTCGAACTCTCGGTATATCACCTTGGTATTCAATAGTTGTGTTATGTTTTGGCTGAGATGGCCACAGCAGCACGCATAGTTATTGTTGGCCATTGCACTAGCCCTTTGCTCAGAACCCCTCGCTATTTCAACGTTACCTTATGACATTGGCTGACACATATCGAATAGGTTCTTTTCATCCAACGGAGACACCAAGGGCCCATCGCCTTTGGAGGTATCGCTAGACAAGCTATTCTCTCAACTGCAAGGTGTGTATGGTCCTCTCAATCCGTCAGATTCCTTAACTTACATGTTCAACTAGACTCTAGCGATGAAAAAGACAAACTGGAGCTCGACTCCACAATGTCATACCTCACTGAGAAGCTGCGAGTCAACATCGAGAACGCCGAGCTACTTGTTGCGCTTGAACTTCTCCAGGCTCCCTCTGTGGGTGTCATTACCAGAAAGGGATACGTTGATGGCTGGAAAGTGACCGGGTAAGAGTGCACTCAAGCCTGCTATTGACACAAAATGCAATACATTGGCCGATTCCTTTCTGAATTCATTGCTGATTTGATACAGGGCTGGAACGACACATCAAGAGCATGCCGCCCATCTCCGAAAACTGACCAAATCTCTCTCCTCTGACCCGACGCTATTCAAAAAGGTTTATAGACATACCTTTGTTGCTGGTCGAGATGGCGACCAGAAAGCACTGAACCTTGAGACTGCGCTCGTTTACTGGGACATCCTATTTGCCCCTCCGGGAATGGAGTGGAAGACACCAAACCGCAACTGGTTGGAACTGTGGAAGTCCTTCCTCGATGCCAAATGGACTCGTTCGGTCAACAAGGACATGTGGAACATGACACTCGAGTTCGCCCTCAAGTCTTTGTCTGACGAGTCACTATCATTTTGGAATGAGGATGGCGCGTGGCCAAGTGTGATTGACGACTTTGTGGATTGGTGTCGTGAACAGGGCATTGGTAAGACCGATGGCATGGACGTTGACAACTAGGGAGGCGGCACACTAATTGGCTCACAACATGAAACTGAGCTCATGGAAGACATGAGCTCCTGCAAATCCGATTCCAATTTTCACAGACCACGGCATACAGGCAGGGCACATCGTTCAGACGCCAATCGGATTCACGGGAAGCGGGTTGCGTTTCGAGAAGGACGGCGTTAACCAAGAGCACCCGGACTATCGGTGTGGTTGTAATTGATGACTTATGATAGACAAGCAGTAACAGAATAGAACACATTCATGTTACCAGCCTTTCAGTGTGATTTGTGCCTTGAAACCGTGGTGAGATTTCGTTCACCTATTGAGTCCTTGAAAACGTGACAGGTACATGATGGAGCGAATGATAGTTTGAAGCTCTATAATATTTCATACAACCATGGCTGCTGTCTTTAGACGCAGCGTCGTTTTTGTACACGGCATCGTGTGATGCCTGAGCATGGAGCCGAGTCTTTTCTCAGACTCTGATGCCCACTCTCATTCGAGTATCGTTCATGTATCCTACATGAAGATTTCCTGCTCCTTCGTTGTCACTATTAAAGCCGTTTGTCATCCATTTACATGTTCAAGTCTTTCCTTCTCCCCTTATGCCTCACTACCAGTCGTCTTCCACTTGGGCGGTCCAAATCTGGCTAATGATTCAAGCTTTCCGTCTCCGAGCTTGACATGGGCGGCGCGAATCATTCGGGGTTCGAGGCGCAATGTGTTTCGCACGTCTTGGTGAACCTTTGAGGCGGCATCGTATCGCATGACGAAGTAATGGCCGTGTGTGTGCTTCATCTGATGCACTGAGATAGGTTTCGGCAGGGAGAAGACACCCCAGTTGGCGAGACCGCGGACGACACCGCCATTCTTGAGGACGAGGGAACCGACTGTTTGGGCGATTCTGCGTTGGTCAGCTAAGATGGATTGATGATTCGATGTGAGGAACGCACTCCTTCACCTCGGAGAGGCTGCCCGGCCGGACCTGATTTTGGTTAGCTCTAGTGCATGTGCAGAGAGAAGAGGGGCTCGTACAATTGCGATTAATTCGTAGAGCATCTTGGTGATGACCTCTACAGGAAGAATGGTATTGTCGCGGAATATTTCGATGTCGCCCAAGCTGGATGAATTTCTGGCGGATCTCGAATTTTGGGCTCCGAGGATTAGCCACTTCGATAGCGGGAGTTCATGGCAAGTGGGGTATTTATCTATCTAGGTACCTAGTACCTATTCAACAACGAACACAATGAATGCACTGTTGGATTATAGTCGATTTCATCGTCATTCATAATATTCTAAACACGATGCCTTCTATGTTATAGGCTTTTCGATATAGTACAGTACAATCGAGACATATCTCGAGATTGGTGGTTTTACATATTAGATTCGCTCCTTGGACAAGGCCTGCCAGATACTCCATGGCAGTTTCCAGCCAGCTGTCTTGACAGCGAATGGGTTGAAATCTGCTTGCTCTAGACGTTGCAGGTACTGAGCCGAGGGGATAGCTTCAAGAAGCACCCCAAACCCCTGCCGGATCTCTCTCAATGTGTCGCTTCCCTCGGTATAGAAATGCTCAGCTTCTCCCTGATGCTCGAACTCATGACCTGGATCCTCTCCTGCCTTGAGCCGCTTGAGCATCTCTCGGGCCGTGATGAGGTGGTCATTGGCTCGTGTTGCGACCTGGAATACAGCATCTTGAAGTCCAGGTGCATTGGGCCCCTGCCTGAAGACCTCCTCCTCTTTGACTCCTGCTTCAGCCATAGCATCCAATGGTAGAAGAAGCGCAGGCTCTCGCACAGCTGGAACCTGACCAGAAGGTGTATTTACTGGAGGAGGAGGTGCCGCCAGAACAGGGATGCCACGTAGGACCGCAGCGATACCGCAAGCCTTTCCGATATGACTTGCGAGATGATCGACATGCATTGACCTCAGCGGAAGTGATGCCAAGGTCGTGTACATGATAGTCGAATATGTATTCTCAGCATACTCCTCCAGACTCACCAAAGTCGCAAAAGGCCTGTTTGTCATTTGATTTTCTCTCGTTTTAATTAATCTTGAGATCCAAAATTTTATGGATTTCTTGGTAGAATTGCCATCTCGGGCCTCTAGATCTCGTAGACCCTTGTGAAGGAGGATGCAAATGGGTTCGCGAGGGGGGCGACCCGCGAAAGTGTTGTCAATGGATTCTTGCCAGAACTTCATTCGAAAGGATCCAATCGTAGGGTTAGAAACGAGCTCAGGGAGGCGGACAAGCTCAAGGTTGAGGGTACGGAGAGCAGCGTAGGTGTCTTGTACTGGAGAGGGGACAAAGCGGCGAATGAGATGAGCATCATAGTCGCTATTTCTAAGAGCTGTTAGAGTAAGTCCCTTGGAAGTACAATTAAGCTTACTTCAACTGCGTCAAACAGTATCTTCTCGCAGATTCAACATCAGCGTCTGTGATGTATGTTCGACGACATGTTCGGGCGTGGGTGAAGCCCCGAAGACTCTGGCCCAATAGTCTTGGGCGATACATTGTATAATGATGAGCCCCCAACGGTTATTGAATTACAATTGTGTTTCAAAAACCGTTACCATCTCAATAACAATACAATTGATGGTGATACAGTGAACATTACGGTCCTACGACTTCGACACGGCCACCCATAGACGTCGGATTTCCAATCGCCTTCAGTGAATTTTTCATGACGTCGAGCTCTGCCGCGCCACAGCATTAGCCACATGAATTAACATGAGATGACGAGATAGAAGGAACCACTTAAACACGGGATCAGGTGACACTTCCACGCTCAGTCGCGCCTGCAGGGGTTGTTCGCGTCTCCTAGAAAGTCCAGCTCCGGCCTCAAAGAGCTCTTTTGGGGGGCTTCAACAATTTTGGCCAAACGCTCTGTGAGGAAAGGTCTTTAGTCATGACACTTTCTTACCAACAGAAGCACCCTGATGATCATATAGATCCAGAACCTCCCGCGAAGAGAAGAAGGTTTTTTGCAGACCCAGACGAACTTTCTTCAGACCCTGTCTCTCATGACCAGTCCCCACTACCGCAGCCGAAACGGTTCTTTAAAGATGCAGACGTTATCGAGGAAGAAGACGAATACAAAGATGATTTAGACGAAATTCACGACGATGATCTCCCTGTAACATCTCCATCACGGCCACCGACGCTCCAACAGGAGTCGTCTGTCTCCTTTGATCAAGAGACATTCGAAGCTTTCGTCGGGGACAAGGTCTCTACTGACGTTCTTTCGGCCATAAGAGACTACTGCGGAAACGATCTCGAACGAGCGGTTAATATGTACTTTGATGGAACATACAAGAAATTTGTGAAGAAGCCATCATGGAAAGCGCCCCTAAGGCCTGCCTCTACCGCCGGCTCCAGTCGGTCGCCAAGCGCCTCCAACGAACGCAAGCCGAATCTCAAGACAAGCCAGAGAATGCCGAAACAACGATACATAGGAGCGTTTGGTGTTGAAGGATGGGCTACACGAAGTGGATTTAACGTGTTGAAGCACGGCGATGTCGTGAAAATTGAGCGACAAAAATTACAGCCACCCCAATCTGTCAGAGGGAAGGGAAAGACTGGACAAGTTACACCCTCACGAGGATTTGCCGCCGCTGCTGCGAGGCGAGTCGATGTTATCGTGCGCTTCACCACTCAAAACGGATCAGAAGTTGGACGGCTAGCGAAGGAGACCGCAAATTGGGTTTCAGCTCTGATCGACGAAAAGGTGTGCAAATTCGAAGGAACTGTGGTCTACGCCCCTGAGAGACTCCGAACGAACGACACGATTTTTCTACAATTGCGATGCTCATTTCTTGACTCTGCTTTCTTCAGCCGTTCATTCAAGCTCGCTGACGACCGATCGGTTGCTTTTTTCGAACAAAACGAGACAAACGATGAGAAAACGCTTCGACTGCGACAAGTCGCTCTGGTCAAATTGTTTCAAGAGATCAATTTACAGCCCACTATGTCGAACTCTGCTGCCCAAGATGGCCGTAAGGGGCTACTCCAAGCTGCCGAGCAAGACGAACAGAAGCAGAAGGAGGCGAAGAAGGCTGATGGGGATACAAATGGAAACGGCAAGGAGGCCAGCTCATCCCAGTCGTCCGAGACCGAAGAAGGAGAAGAACTGGAACAGGATCAGCTCGATGCGCTTTACAAGAAGGCCCAGTCCTTCGATTTTAGCACCCCTGAGGCGGAGCCAGCAGATACCTTTGCTATGACACTGCGATCATATCAGAAACAAGCGCTGCACTGGATGATGGCAAAAGAGAAGGATGAGAAAAGTAACCGGGAGCCATCCATGCACCCTCTTTGGGAGGAGTACGACTGGCCATTGAAAGATGTCGATGATAAGAATGTGCCTCAGGTTGAGGGACAGCCGAAGTTCTACGTCAATCCGTATTCTGGCGACTTGTCCCTTGACTTCCCAGTTCAGGAACAACATTGTCTGGGTGGTATTCTTGCCGACGAAATGGGTCTTGGCAAGACCATCCAAATGCTAAGCTTGATGCACACGCACAGGTCCGAGATCGCACTTGAAGCTCGCCGAGCAGCTGTTGAGCTCTCGAGCGTGAATCAGCTTACCAGATTGGGCAAGAACTCAGAGTCGGTGCTTGATGCGCCATGCACGACGTTGGTGGTTGCACCCATGTCGCTACTGTCGCAATGGCAAAGTGAAGCGGTGAAGGCTTCCAAGGATGGAACGATGAAGATTGAGTTATACTACGGCAACGAGAAGTCAAGTAATCTGCAGGCACTCTGCTGTGCTTCCAATGCGTCCAACGCTCCAGACCTGGTGATTACCAGTTATGGAGTTGTTCTATCCGAATTCAGTAGCATAGCTGCCAGAAAGGGAGACAAGAGCTTTCACAACGGCCTCTTCTCTCTCAAGTTCTTCCGCATTATCATCGACGAGGCACACCATATCAAGAACCGATCATCCAAGACTGCAAAGGCTTGCTATGAAATATCCGCCTACCATAGATGGGCTCTGACGGGAACTCCCATC